CCTGCATTTATTATAAATATATATCTTGAGCTGTTTTTGTATTTTTGTACTCTACCTTAAAAAAAAATTGTTTTTTTTATGTAATTAAAACATTTTATTGTTACTTACGTAAGATTCTATCTAGGAAAAGAAGAAAATTCCATATTAAAATATGAATAAATTAAATAAATTAAAATATGGAATAAATTAAATAAATTAAAATATGGAATAAATGATCTACATAATAGATAATTAATTAGATCATTTAAATTTACATTTTGAGTAATGCCCGCGCGAAAGAGAGTATCATGGAGAACGTCAGTTTCTTGAGCATGTTGACCAGTATCAAATGAAAAATATTCCTCCTTTTTTTTTAAGTAAAACAATAAGCAATGTTTATAATAGCGAGGTGGGTCCTACACACCAGATAAAAGCGATTTGAATCACAAACTTGAGTGTTCCAAAAGTGCGCACCAACATAGTTAGAAAAATGGCCAAATTGTAAGGTCACAATCTCGTGCATTGTGAATCCCGAATTCGTCAAGTTCGTTAAAAATCGGACGATGCAAAGTATTTTATACGATTTTGTTCTCTTGAATATGATTGGACGATAAAAAGTACCATTATTGTAATATAATCGGATGTGAAGTTTTAATACAAAAAGCGGTGTAACATTCTATGTAGATCGATCAGTCATACACGTTCTTTGGGCTAACGCTGGCTGAAATATATGTTTCAACCAAGATTAGAAAACACGTACGTATGTATATAGTTTAAATTACATCTAAGTTACATGACCACAATGTTTTACAGGCAAATTTGCCTGCAAATGGTCATGATCTGTGAGTAACAAAACTGTATCGATATTGAATTCATTTCAAGCCAACTTTAAGATTAATTTAGGACAAAATAAGACAAAATAATTCAAGAAAATAAAAGATTTATGCAAGTTACAACATCTAAAAATAATAAATAAATAAAAATATGAATGATAAAGCAGGCCGGTTTTAATAATTTGGCCAATATTTGGTGTAACATACATACCTTATCTGTTATATGCAATTTACGTCAGCTAAAATATAAACTTACGTCAGTTAAATAATATACATCTTAAGTTAACAAACCAAGATCATGTGCTTTTCGGCCTGCACAAAATTCCTTAACGTTAACTTTGGGTACGAAAGTGCACAGATGTATTTATTTTGCCCCCCTGCATGAGTTTTGTAACCTGTTTGCTTTATTTAAAACCAAATGTTTACGTAGTACAGTCTTATGATACCTTCATTAATAGATTGGAACCAGTTATAAGTACATTTGCGATATTGTTCAGATACGATATGCTTGATCGGCCCAACCATACTTAACTATCTAGGGCTCTAACGTATGTAGATCATAGATTATTAAAATTTATACAAGAAAAATGCTTTATTCGTAACGCATTTATGGAATTTATGGAGTTTATGGAGTTTATGGAATTTATGGAAGTTATGGAATTTATGGAATAGAATGGAACTCTATAATATCTTTTCAGGGCTTCTTCGTTCCAAAACGTTGGCTCAATAATGTATGAATGATGGCATTTATCTATATTTTTAATTGCCTTTTGAAAGTTCATTGATTATTTAATTTAATATTAAAGTTTTTGAATTGCTGGGAAAAAAAAGGTGCTAATCCCACTTTATCAAGCATCCGGTGCAGATCTTCAACTATGCGTATTGGTTCATCCGAGCAGACACGGATGACGATCTAATAACAATCCCGATTCCTACATCCACCCAGTTTATATGATAAAAAAAAAAAATAAAAAATTATATACGTATACGTTATTCTCATATTCTCAGATAAACTTTAATCAATTTTCACTGCATATACGGTCCTGCATTTATTATAAATATATATCTTGAGCTGTTTTTGTATTTTTGTACTCTACCTTAAAAAAAAATTGTTTTTTTATGTAATTAAAACATTTTATTGTTACTTACGTAAGATTCTATCTAGGAAAAGAGAGACACGATTTTATGAAATAAATAAATAAGTTGGTAATCCGGCACCATCCAACATCCATTTTACACTTATCCCTGCTTAACTGTTATAATCTATATTTTGATTTGACGAATATGATATCAACTAATCCTCCTAAACGTGCACGCTTATTCGAGACAGACTCAAATTTACGGGAACAACAACATTTGCAACAACTTCATCCTCAACAACTTCAACTAAACTTACAACAAGAACAACATAACATTCAAAGGCAATTATATCAAAATAATCCTGTTATTGGTGACTTTTCTTCTCAACAACCACCCTTTTCGCTAGCTCCTGAGCATACGAATTCTTTATCGTCATCCACGGACCTTAATAGCAACCTTAATAACAACCTTAATAACAACCTTAATAACAACCTTAATAACAACCTTAATAACAAACATGAAGAAGAACCTTTAAATCAACAAGACCTACAACGACTTGAAAAAGTCATTGATTTAATATTTCCGAACAAATCTGCCGCTGCAAAAGAAGCAGTTTCTATTCTTTTAAAATCTTCAAATGCATCTTCCACGAAAGACGATGCAACTTCTATGGTCCTTGACCTTCCAATGATCGTTGATCAAGGCTTTGAAGCTGATCAAATAAAGTCACCATTGGGTCATATTTTAAACCATACCTACCCTAATTCTTTGGTTGAATTAGTTGGAAAACTTAACAAGATGTCTATAAACCCTGCAAGACTAGAATTTATGAATCCAAGTGCGAATTCACCTTTAATAAAATCGAGCACTTCCAATAACCCTTCTTTAGTTAATTTGGAACCTCCATCAAAAGAATTGCGTAAAAAATTGATAAATGATTATTTTACCAAATTTAATGTTATTGTTCCTATTCTTGATCGTAAAAAATTCGCCGGTATATGGAAAGATAAATCTCATCTTTCAGAATTGTTGGTTAATTCGACTTTAGCTGTAGCTGCAGCAAGGTATTCTAATGACCCGTCGATACAAAAAACATCCAATAAACCAGGCGGCGTGTTTTTCGACTCCGCAAAGGTATATGCATGTGTATGCACCTAGCTTTGTGCACGTGACCGTATTAGTCTAATTTATATTTTTTCATAACAGAGGTTATTAGATGCTATGTACGATACTCCAAGGCTTGAGACTGTCCAAGCTTTATTTCTATTAAGCAATGCAGAGGTCAGTGTATCACGTATAAATCGTGGATCAATGTTTCTTGGCATGGCCGGTATGTGTTTATCTTTTGAATTGCATAAACGCGTATATTTATTTTTTTATAATATGAATTTATGTTGATTTGTCGTCGTTCATGCATTAATATAGTACAAATGGCCCATGCTTTACATCTTGAACGAGATGAAGAATCTTTACATCCGGAAGAGGATGAAGAAAGGCGTAGAGTGTTTTATTGCATTTATTGTTGTGAAAGGTTTTTATCCTTTCTTTTCATTAGCCAATAGTTTATATTACCATTTGTATTAACAATATTAACAATATTCTCAATCTTATCAATATTAACAATATTAACAATATTCTCAATATTATCAATATTATCATATTCAGATGGTCATCATTTTCACTGGGCAAACCTTCCAGTATAGACGATATAAATATCAATGTTCCCTTACCTACACTGAATTCTTTCAGTTTTCCAACAAGGAGCTTCTTCATAGCCTTTGTGAAGTTATCACGAATACTTGGTCAAATTTGGAAATTTGGTTATTCTTCTCAACCTAAAGCTACACATACAAGTTGGTTGGATCAAATAATGGATCGAAAAAGTATGCTAAGACAAATCCGTTCAGCATTGGCCAAATGGTTAAAGGAACTACCTGATGAATTACAATACCAATATTTGCCTAATACCGACCCACGAAGTCTCATTCAATTGGCAACATTTTCTATTTTTTCTGGTTAGATATTAATAGATATTGTAATTTATTCCTTTTTTATTCATTACATTTGTAATTATATTTACAATCGGTTTATTTTTATTTTTATATATATATATATTTTTTTTAGGTTATATTAATATTCTTTTTCATACTTGTATAATTGTACTTCATCAACCGTATTTGACTAGTGCTTATAAGAATCCAAAAGTTGAAATGCAAGGTCCAAGTGGCCCAATTAAAACATGTCTTACTGCAGCTATGACACTTACAGACATCGCCAGAACGACCCGGAAATATGACAAGGAATCAGCTTGCAACTTTCAATATCTTATATATGGATTATTTCAGTCGACAATGGTGGAATTGGACGTTATTTATGAAACACAAGAGTACGATCCAAACGCTAAAAAGGCTCTAGATGACTCAATTGAAGAATTAAGATTTGCTGCGGAACATTCTAGATTTATTTCTCTCCAAGAAATAGTTAAAGAATTAGAGGGGGTAATAATGATAGTTAACGGCAAATCTTCGGACATTGTGATTCCATTTCCAGTTGTTATGCAAATGATGGAATCTCGGAATAATTTTGAAAACAATTATGGAAATATAAACATTTGTAGAAATTCAGGTTCATCAAAATATTCTTTATCATCAGTTAGTGAAAAGGTATCCACTTCATCCAACGCATCAGATGATGATGATGATTTAAAGGTTAAATATTCTTCGTCACCTGAGCAAACAGAATACCAAACTAATAGAACACCTTCACAATCAACACTATCGGATAAATTAAATTTAACTTCAACCTCTTTACCATCACCATCACATTATCTCCAACCACATCCATCTCCAACTCATAAGCAACAAACAAATCCAAATATGTACATTATGTCTTCTGATTATCAAGACCAAACCTCATTACAATATCATCAATCTCAACCGAATGTATCACCTAATTCGTCAGCTCAGTGGAACAATTCAACATTTTTTATGAGTGATGAAATATATGGATTTGTAAATACTCAACATAATATGCCGGGCGTGTCACCAATAACAGCAAATTCATCCGAAGCTAATGGAGCCGAAATTGATAATTTGGCTGAACTATATTCTCCATCAATCATAACAAATTCGGATAAAAGTAATTCAAATTCCGATAACACATTGCAATAAATGTTATTAATTAATAGTGATGTTTTATTTATTTTTTTTTGGTTTACTCGATATATTATAATCCTTCTATAGAAATTCTATTGAACTATTTATTAATGATTCATTTATGTGCTTTTAACAAATTGGATTAAGGTTGTAAAATAATTTAATATGCTTTCAAAAGTAATATAAATGTTAATATATAAAGGTTGTTTTGTTTTGTTTTTGTACCACATAGAATCTTATGTAAAACTTACGCAATTCATTATGTTATATTATGTAAATAAATAAATTATTATTTATGGATTTTATTTAAAAGAAATAATTCATTTATGATCTTTTTTAATTATTCTTTGTTATGAAATAAAGAACATCTATTTGCGATTTTAAGTTTAATATTCTAAAACATCGCATCTTCTACGTACGTACTTAGATGCAATTTAAAAGTGTGCGTATGTACTTATGTATGTACGGGTTTACTAATTTTTCCCCAAGTTCTTATTGGATCCTGTTCATTGATTTGACGAAATAGGTTATCAGATGTCATGGAGTGATCATGAAGTGATCATTAAGTGATTATTAAGTGATCATGAAAGTTAAAAACAATCAAATATGGTATGCTTTTTAAAACACAATAAATAATTTCATAAGCAGATTGAAAAAACTTTTTCGAAGTTTGATAAGTTTGACGTAACACTAGATCTTGTACATTGATTGGTAGAGACAACCTCTCCAGTTTTATTCACCGGAGTTCTAGTGGAAATTACTGGAATTGGATGATCGCTGGACGGAATTGGAGTAGGTATGCGATGCGCATAATTGACTATCTTTTCGCATAACATATGCTTCGCATAATTAGATGAAAAAAGTTATGTGTGCGGATGGTGATTGGTAGATAAATGGTGTTTATGTTTTGAGTTAAATTCCGTAAGGTTCCGATGTAGATGATTAACGAACTTAAAATACGAGCAAGTTGAGACTAAATAAAATTCGCTCTTGAGTGCAAAATTATTATATAATTAACCGCATAATTTCATAATTTCATAATTTTAAAACAATCGCATAATCAACCGCATAAATTTGAAATTATATCGCATAAATTGGAAGGATCGGGTATCTCAAGAATTAATGACCCAATCTAACCATAATGATCCATAATGATAACGATAATTAGAATATTTCTATATTTATAATGGCAATTGCAGATCTCTGTTTATAAATTGACACTGGAGTAAAACCGTTCCACTTACTTCTGATTGGCCAATTCGAATCAATCGCGTAACTTGCTTATATGATTTTATATGATTTAAAGTTTTTTTGTTCGCTCATCGAAAATAAATAATAGTGAATATTTTGCAAAAGTAAACCACATTGAGGACATAGTCACATAACATTTCGACCACCCGAGTTTAACATAATTATATCGTTCTAACTAATAACCGTTTCGCATTCTTTAATTGTATTATTATAGATTTCGGTTGTGATTATGATTATCTAGATAACCAACAGTATGATGAGCAGAAACAGTATTTTATATGGATATAAAAGTGTGATGGTTTCAAAAAAAACTAATTTTTGTACAATGAATTTTTTAGAACCATACGTTTTTTTATAGTATGTAAAGGTAAAATAAAAAAAAAAAAATTCAAAGGAAAAGAAAAAGTAAATTCTAAAATTCAAAAAAGAATTCAAAAAGAATTCAAAAAGAATTCAAAAAGCATTCAAAAAGAATTCAAAAAGCATTCAAAAAGAATTCAAAAAGTGGTTATTGCACGGGTCTTAACTGGCCAACCCATAATATTCAAGAATAGGTAATTCATATATTTTTATAAACGATGCAAATGATCAAACCGAAAACTTGACATAGAAGTGTTTTACTTATTTTGTATTTAGGTATGTTAGACGTCGCTTTCAAATGCCGATTAAAATTTAACTTACGTCAAATTTTAATTTAACGTACGTCATATTTTAATGCCGTATTTAAAGATATAAAAAAAAGTTTTTGTTATTTTTCTTAAAATAACTTCGAATACTTTATTGGTTCGTTCCTTTCACTTCAAACCTTTGAAAAAAATATTGATCATTATTTCAATAATTTAAAACAAATAAAAATTATATATATATGTTATGCGTCATTTCAGTTGGTACATTTCATTTTTCAATTTGAAAAGATATTTGTATAAATTTACGACTAATAAAGAAATTATTACGACGCATTTAAACTTGTGTATATTCAAATTTACGCATGTTTCGCATCTTTTTTCAATTTATTTTAATTATTAATTGCCATATTTCATTTTTAAATTAGAAAACGGCATAGGCCATTTTGTAGTCAATATAATTTTAAAAAAGTATTTATACCGATTTTTGATAAACATACGCTTCACATGTGTGTGTTCAACGAAGTATAATCAAAATTTATAGGGGAATTTACAGATCAGGGCCCAAAAAACGAAAATAATTACAAATAAGGGCCCAAAATGAAAATAATTACAGAT